CTTTTTTTTTTTTTTTTTTTTGTACCAGGGATTGAACTCAGGACCTTGCACTTGAGAGGCAGGCAGCGGAACCACTGCGCCAAACCCCCAGCCTGTTGTGTCATTTCTTATAAGAGAAATTTACCCTTGGGGATGGAGTTGACAGTATTCCTTAAATTATGAAATGTATTTGGTTACAACACCATTTTCACACAAACAAATCACACCCACAATATCTGCAACAAGGCGGGCTTAATACTGCCATAGAAATTGATTTTTTTCCAAATATCTTCATTGTTTACATTAATGTTCAAGCACTGATGTCTTGCTCCTTGGGCACGTCTAAATGCCATGCTTAATCTAGTGACTAATCTCATCTAATTTCTGTGACTGAAAAGAATCTCATAGTTTACTGAAAAGCCAAGAGTTGATACAAAGTCAGATTTACACAAGAAAAAAAAAGTCTTTTGATTACGTTATACCAGCCTGAAATCTGGCATAATTGGGCAAGTTTAAAAAACAAACCATGATGCCCAAGAACTGGAACTTGGAATGTCTTTCAGATACTCAGGTTAACCACAAGACAACAGGAACATCCCAGTTTTGAAATGTAAACAGAACAATATTTTTAAGTGATTTTTAAAATTAAAATTGAAGGACAAAAACCAAAATGAGTGGTCACAGTACATGGTAAATGTAACTTTAGGAAACAAGTGACTTACTTGTTTAACAAGGAAATAGTTTTCAGAGTCAGTGAAAAAAAGCCAGATCTGGTGACACATATTTAATCACCCAAGGAAGGCGATTAAAGTAAAAAGATCCCATTGGTTCATAAAACATTAAAATGTAACACCAAAAACCCTAGCCCCTACAAAAACCATAACAACAAATATCCCCCCTACAAATAATGCACAAGACCAGAGTATTAATATCAGCTACAAGGCTGCTGTTCAAAACCAAAAAGGAGATATTGCTGCTATTGAGTTAAAAGAACAGCTTAAGGGGTGAATTTTCAAGTGCATGTAAAACGTGGTAAGGAAGTAGAAGTTGGAACATGGAAAAAATGAAAGTAGTGAAGGTAATTCACTTACCAGAAAAGGCCATAAAAATAATCAACCCATTCAATGAAAACATAATGCAGAATTAGGTCAGCAACTCTGAAAGCACCATCCCAAATTAGGTCAACAGCACAGACCTAGAAACCTCCTTCCTGTCTGACTCCACACACTCTACCTTCTCCCTGAGCATCCTCTGTTGCAAAGCTAGGGAAGAACAACTCCAGGTAAATGGATGCTTTCCTTCTACAGGAGGGTTAAATTATGTAAATCCACCCTGCAGC